GTGTGTGTGTGTGTGTGTGTGTGTGTGTGTGTGTGTGTGTGTGTGTGTGTGTGTGTGTAGGTTGGTCCTGCAGGCTGACCAAAGAGGCCTTGGATACATAAATATTGATTTAGCCATAGCAGCTGAATTTACTGACTCGCAAAGGAAAAGAAATAAGAGAAAACAAGCTGGGACCTTTTTGCAGAAATAAAAAGGTTGCAGTTTATATGACACCAATTCTCTGCTACATTTGACAAGGAATGAGTATGAAATCTTTAAAGAACCAAGGACAATTGAGTTTACTGCATTTAGTCTTTCATTCGACTCAGCTTGGTGTGCTGTGGTGATGAATCAGAGCTACAAGAAAAAGAAATCATCATCATTTGTGGTTTAAAAATCCGTCCCAGCAGTTATTTTTTGATGAAATGTAAATTTTCTAATTAACCTTTTTTCCATTAACATGCCCGCCGTGCTTCTACATCAATTAGTGCGTTCTCCACGTGCACCTTTCAAGTGAGTAAAAAGGTGCGACCCTGATGTTATCTCCACAGCGAAATTAGCAGCAGAGCTGTGGCCTCCCAATCTGTTTTTAATATCTTTAGTGCCTTTGAGCAGAATTTCATAGAAAACCTAGAGAAAGCTGCGTCTTAATAATCCCAGTTTGGGAAAATGCTGCATTAGAAGCACTCGCAGCTACACCGACTGAGCTTTTACAGTTAAAGTGCTTCACAAGTAAACTTACTTTCATATCTGTCGGTGTCTGGTTTTCTTTGAGGTCTTTCCGGATTACAAAAGAAAATAATATGCATAATGTAAAAGGTATTTTACTGCTACAAAGGCTCTCCCAGAGAGACGAAGAACATGCATTTTATAAATATACATATAACTGGATAAATGCTGCATAAGAATCTCTCAGAACTGACGGAGCTTACTGCACTGGCTTTGAGCTCTTTGAGTAAAAGCGTAACATATAGAGTCATGTGGAAGTCTTCTCATGTTATGAGTACGTGTTTGACTGATCCTGTTGTTATAGCTGTGTGCTGTAGTTTGTCATGTATGCATCATGTGGTGTATTATGTAGTTTGTGTACGGACCAAATCTGGGGGGGATGCTGCAACAGTCTCCATGCTGCAGAGAATGCACTGTGGATAGTAACGGCTGCATGGTGAGGATTGCTTTTGAT